GAAATTTTTAAACATAATAATATTAAAATTTTTTTTAATTATTTTTGGTCATCGAACACTTCAGTATTTTTATAATCAAGATAAACAAAAAATAAAAATTAAATTAACTTTTCAAAGTATTTAAATTCGTATAGTAAGTTTTCATTAATAGCTAAAATTTAAATTCATTTTTGTTTAGTTAAATTGATATGCTCTAAATATAAATTATTCAAAGGTGTTGACCTGTGGTGGTCGACTTTGTCAATAGTTTCAGAATATGGTTGTGAAAGGATCGACTAATCTAAAAGTGAAAACAAAAATTTACGGAAGAAAAATTAACATTACACTAAAAAAAAAACTCCTATCAATAATTAAGAATTATTAACCTTTTTATTTTTAAATTCAAAATAATATTTTTTTCCCATAATTAAATACATTACGTTTTCCATATTGATACAGAAATATTATAGTCACTAAAAAATTTAATTTATATGTTGAAAAATCAAATGAAAAAAAGAGATGATTTTGGTTCAAAAGTTAGAGTTATGTTAGTATTGTTAAATTATTTATGCCCCTAATACAAATTATTCAAGAGTACTGCCCATTTTATTAATTATTTACTCTCTCTAATTCAAATTTTCCCTTGTCTAAAATCTAAAGACTAAATTCTGAAAATGATCGTTTACATTAGGATAAACGCACATTTTTGTTCTCTACATTAATATTTGGTTGAAATGATCCTTTACATTTTTGTTTATAACTTTTTTGGTCTTTGACACTATTCTAGCAGTTTGCCATATTTATGTTCAAGTCAACAGGTGTATTTTTGAAATAAAAAATATTTATTTTTCAAAAGAAATTAAATAAAATATTATTATAAATATTAAAATAATTATATTCATAAAAATAATTAAGAATTAAAATAAATAATTAATTAATTAAAACAGTGCCACGGGACTAAAAAAGTTAAAAACTAAAATATAAAGGATAATTTTAACTAAATGTTAATGTAAATGATCAAATGTGAATTTGACATAATGTAAAGGACCATCTTCAAAATTTAGTCAAATCTAAAATACGGTCTTGTTTGGACAATGGTTTGTTTTAGTTTTTTGTTTAGTTTTTTGAGTTTGAGATTTGATTTAAAATTCGGTTTGAGAGAAATTTTAAAAATTTTTTTGGTTAGAATTTTAAATAAAATAATAATATTTTTATACCACCACCGGGCCACCTCCACCACCGACACCGCCGCCTAGGGCTGTCAATCTTCGACACGATCCGGAATTTCGACACGAACTCAACACGAAATAGTCGGGTTCGAGTTGGGATTTTTGACCCGTATAATAAACAGGTCGGGTTAGGGTTGACCTGTTTATTATACAGATCGAGTTCGAGTCAACCCGTCGGTTACCCGGATTACCCGTGTATATATATTTTATGTATTTTCTAGAGTTACTTTGGTAATTTTACAACAAAGCAACCCTAATATTCTATTAACTTCCCTAGGGTTACTTCACTTCACACTTCACTCCTTCCTCCACAGCGGCCGACCAAAAGGAAGTTTTTCACCAAGAAAAATTAAAACAATCTTCCCAATCTTTGTTTGCTCTCTTCTTCAGATCTTCCCAATCAGATTTCACAAACGAACTACTGCAATTCAAAGAGGCGGCAGAGATTCGAGTAATATTGCCCTGAAAGTTCCACAAACGAAAGGTTGTTTGGCCATTTGAAATTGGGAAAATAGCTTCTTCTTCTTGCTAAGGTAGATTCTTCTCCACTGCAATTCAATTAATTAAAATCAATGAGACCTCCAGTCGCGTTTGGTTAGATCCGGATCTAGGGTTGTCGATGTTTTTGAGGTCGAGATTTCTGTTTAATTCTAATTTCCTCTCTTTACATCCCAGATTATTCTTTCAATGAAGAAATGGAATCCATCAATGAAGAAGAGTTTTATGTTAACCGATGCCGATGATGCTGATGATGAGCCAGAGATGGTGTTTTTGTAGTTTTGTGTTATTCTTTCTTAGATTGTAAGTTTGTAACTTTGGCAGTTGTGCTACTGTTGTCTATGACTTTTAAGTTTGAGTATTCATGGAGGATGGACAGATTTATTATTCATAGTGGATTTAATTTTTATGTGAGAGAGTGAAACTGAGATTCAGTCTCTCTTCGTTGTTCTATTATGCAATTTTTTGAATCAGTTATTTTTTTTTCACGGGTTAAATGGGTCGACCCGGATCGACCTGATTTTTAAAAGGTCGGGTTAGGGTTAAGAATTCTAACCCGTATAATTAAACAGGTCGGGTTCGGGTTAACTATAATTTTTCCGGGTTCATGTTCGAGTAAAGGTGCTAATTATTCGGATCAACCCAAAAACGCACCCGAACCGAATGGAATACGGGTCGTTTGGTGCGGGTAAATAATTTGTGGTGTGGGTTTTGGGTAAACCCAACAAATATGAGAGTAATTCGGTTCGGGGACGAGTGTCACAGAAAAAAATTGAGGCCCGCCCGAAACCCGTATATATAATAAATTAAATTTAAATATATAATAATATATATATATATATAAAGGATAAATATTGGGGGTGGATTTTTGAAGCCACCCACTTTAGTAGTCAAAGCCACAAAAAAAATTGGACCATTTTACCCCTATCATTTAACAATATTTATACTTTAATAGTTAAACTCTCGATTTTATATTTATTTGAAAATAAACAAGTAATTAATTTTTACTTGAAAATAAATTTAAGATTATTCGTTAAGTTAATTTAATTGAATTGATATTAAAATATAAATTTTACTTCAATCATTATTTTAAAGATAATTTTTAGTTAAAATAATAATTATACATTTATAATGAAAAATTATAATTGTACTACAAAGATTGTGATAAATATGTTCAAATAGATTAATTATTTTTTGTAATACAAAGATTGGTGTTTCTTAATGTAACTCAAATAATAAATTATAGATAAATTTAATGACCTAAAAACTAGATTAACTAATTACAAAAAAAAATCTAAAATTTTAAAAAAAATTTAAAAAAATTGAAAATTTTAAAAAAAAAAACGGCCGACCTGGCGGTCCACCCGTCCTCGCATTTGTAATGCGATGGTCATCTGTTCGATTCCAATTGCCGGCTTTTCCTATTTATTTAAATTTTTACGTAATTGAGAATGTTCCTTTTGAATTTGAAATCAAAAAATGTTGAAGGGGTGAGGTCTCATCTTTCCAAAAGACATACACTTTTAAAATTATAAGACCTTAGATCGGGACGGGTGGACCGCCCGGTCGGCCTTTTTTTTTAAAATTTTCAATTTTTTTTTAAAATTTTTAAAATTTTAGATTTTTTTTTGTAATTAGTTAATCTAGTTTTTAGGTCATTAAATTTATGAATAATTTATTATTCGAGTTATTTTAGTCAAGTTATTTGATTTGAAAAAATGACAGGGTAAAATGGTCCAAATTTGAAAGTGGTGGCTTCAAGTAGTAATCTTGGTGGCTTGAAAAATAAACACCCTAAATATTAACCTACTAAAGCTTTCTAATTTCCGATTTCCCTCAATCTTCTCGTCTCCCTCTCCTCTTCTCTTTTCCTCAAACCCGGCAGCGGTTATTCACCTCTCCCAATCTTCACTTCAATTCAATCCCATAGGTTTTTAATTTCAATTTTCACTCTTTTTTCTAATAGCTTTCCGATACTTTTCTTTTCCTCTCCTTCTCCTACTCAAGCTTCACTTTTCTCGGCTCCGTATTTTTCTCCGATTTAAGATCCAGATTTGAATCAGCATACGAAAAGACTTCAAACCCCTTCTTGTTTGATTTGTTGTAATTTGTTTTGAGATTACTTGTGTTATGTGAAGACTGGGGATTATGAATTCATTTGATTGAATTGATTTTGTTTTGAAAAAAATGGAAGATTGACATCATTCTGGAGAATAATTATCTGAGATGGGTGGATTTCAGTCATGATTCTTTTGTCTTGGGAAGATTAGATGTATTTGAACTTTGGAAATCTGGGAACGTGAAAGATTAAAGTCTGAACCAAAGTTTGGAAAGTTTGAGATTTGAACCAAAAAGAACCAGAACAATAATTCGGCTGAACCGAAACCCGAACCGCTTAAACAAAAAAATTATTCGGTCGGATCGGTGCGGTGCTGTACAATATCGGTTTGGTTTGTGGGCAGGTTGTTGAGAGCTGCAAAACCGATTTATCCGAACTAATTTAACCGAAACCCGCCTAAACCGACCGAATTATCACCCCTAGGTTCGACCTGACCTGCCAACCCGAATCCAACACGAATTGTCAGCCTTACTGTCGCCGGACCGCCCATCGCCACCGCCGGACTGCTGTTGGAGCAGCGACCGGCCGGCCTTATTCCGACAAGTTAGCCAAAATTTGGTCGGGAACCAACCGGTCGGTCGCCGAACGGCGGTGGTTTGACGGTGGCGATGGACAGTCCGGCGCCGGAGATGGTCCGGTGGTTGTGGATAGTAAAAATAAAATTTCAAATAAATTTTAAAACGCAAAATAAAAAGTTATTTAGATAGTATTGGGTTTTGTGTTTGAGAGGTGTTTTAAGAGGTAAAATGAAACAAAATACAAAATAAAATGTTGGCCAAACAAACCCTAATCTTTTGTAAGATTAATAGTCATGGTGCTGCTAATGAAACGGAAAAAAGACGCAAGAACTTTGCACCTAGATTGTGTCCACCGAACTTTATGTACCCCAAATCATCTTTTAGGTGCCATTTAATGATAGACTTATGGGCTAAAAACATTGACCAGATTGTAATGAAATCGATAATTTTACATGTAGGATTTCTTCCGCAATAAATATGATCACTTTGCAAACCGAAATTTTTTGGCTTCATTTTGATGAAATTGATTATCATCACATGGGCTATCACCCACACCATGACCACATTGTAGTATAGATTTTTGCCCAATGTCTCTTTTCTTATAAGAAAATTTTGGAAAGTTCGGTTGTTCCTTTTTGACAATTGAAAGTTGTTAACTTCTACTAGAAGTATATAAATCGCAAACTTCCTTAAGCCATTGCGGATATAAAGCCTTGAGAGTTGAGAATAAGTGATCTCGAATTCCTTATTCACTTTTAGAACACAAGAGGGCAAGAAGAACATTTACATAGTGGAGAAAATGGAATCCAGTTTGACAAAACTTCATGCTGTTTGTGTTCCATATCCAGTACAAGGCCACATAAATCCGATGTTGAAGTTAGCAAAAATACTTCATCAAAAAGGATTTCACATCACTTTTGTCAACACAGAATTCAACCACAAACGTCTGCAAAGATCGCGAGGTCCTGATTCCGTTAATGGCTTTCCCTCTTTCCGATTTGAATCCATTCCAGATGGCCTTCCTCCTTCAGATGTTGTTGTTGATGCCTCTCAAGACATTCCATCCCTGTCCGAATCAACATCTAGAGATTGCATTGATCCTTTTAAGGAACTTCTTGCAAAACTAAACCAATCCGCTTCTTCATCACAAGTTAATCCACCAGTTTCTTGCATAGTTTCTGATGGAGCCATCAGTTTCACCCTTGAAGCTGCTGAGGAATTTGGCATTTGTAACGTCCTTTTTTGGGCTACAAGTGCTTGTGCTTATTTAGCTTTTATGCATGATTCTAAGGTCGTTGAGATGGGGATAACACCGCTCAAAGGTAAATCAATCATTCAGCTAACATTAAAGAGGGAAAAAAAACAGAGCTTGTCACTCTTTATTTGGTAGTCATTTTTTAATTTTATGATTTTGTTGACTTAATTGCTTTGAAATGTTGTAAATTGTAGATGCAAGTTATTTGACAAATGGGTATCTTGAGCAAACTCTGGATTTGATTCCAGGATTGGAAGGCATTCACCTGAGAGATTTTCCAAGTTTTATAAGAACCACAAATCCAGATGATACCATGATCAAATTCTTCCTCCAAGAAACAGAGAGAGACAAGAAGGCTTCTGCAATTATATTGAACACGTTCGAGGAACTCGAATTCAATGCAATTCAAGCTCTTTCATCCATTCTTCCTCCAATCTACTCCACTGGGCCACTAAATCTTCTCCAAGAATTGGTCGATCAAGATGGAAGCTTATCTCAATTGGGATCGAATCTTTGGAAAGAAGAAACAGAGTGTTTCCAATGGCTTGATGATAAGGAACACAAATCTGTTGTTTCTATGAACTTCGGCAGCATCACGGTTATGACATCTGACCAGCTTTTGGAATTTGCTAGGGGATTAGCAAACAGTAAATAAACATTTCTGTGGATCATTAGGCCTGATCTTGTGTCTGGCAATTCAGCAATTCTTCCTCCTGAATTCTTGGAGGAAATCAAGGATAGGGGCTTGTTAGCCAGTTGGTGTCCTCAGGAACAAGTTCTTAAGCACCCTTCAATTGGAGGATTCTTAACGCACAGCGGATGGAATTCCACCATTGAAAGTATTAGTTTTGGAGTTCCTATGATTTGTTGGCCTTTTTTTGCTGATCAACAAACCAATTGTTGGTATTGCTGCACTAAGTTGGGAATTGGAATGGAAATAGACAATAATGTGAATAGGGATGAAGTTGAGAGACAGGCTAGAGAGTTAATGGTTGGAGAAAAAGGAAAAGATATGAAGCAGAAAAGTTTGGTGTTGAAAAGCAAGGCCGAATAAGCAGCCAAAACCGCCGCTGGTTCTTCTCGCAGAAATTTGGATGAGGTGATCAAATTAATTATGTCCAAATAATTTAAAAAATAACGGTTTAAGTCATGATATTATTAAATTATCTTTGCTTTGGACTACTTGTTGTAATGATCACCGATTTGTCTTGTTGACATAACTAGATATTAAACATGCACGATGTGTGTGATTTATTTATATACATTTTTAAAAGGTTATAATAAAAAATATAAAAAGTGTACAATATATTTGAAGTTCATATTAATATATATTATATAAAGATAAAATATTGCATACGATATGAAATGTAAGTTGAGTTAATGGAGAGCCAAATCTTTGTTCATCCTTGTAATTATCGCCTCCAACTTATTTTTTTTTCTTCTAATTTTTTCAGACATCTACATAATTGAATTAGAACAAAAATAATCTAAGAACGTTAAGCTATAAATAATTACAAAAAAGAATTATACCTTTATTCTTCATATGAGCACACAGACAACAACGATTTAGAGTGGAATATCAATAACCGATTGAGCGTTATATAGGTAGTACAGAGGATATGAGCGCTCAAGTGTGTTTGATTTAGATAAGATTTTTCTTTTTTAAATTTAAGTGTGATAAGTAATAATATTTCAAATTCAAATTTGATGAAATAATGTAATTCTTGGAACCGGATAGAGAGGAATCATAATTAAGTTAGTTATGGTTGTTATATACAATGATCTTTATTATTTTTGAATGAGTAGTTGGGAAAATAGAGTAGTTTTAGGAATTTATTTCCTTTACAGTTAAAAGCAAAAAATATCACTTCTGGCATATTAATTATATTTGAATTCCAAAATTAAATTACAACCAGATATATGATAAGGAAATTATTTCCTTAATTTGTTAGGAATAATTTACAGATGACTACAAACTTTTTAAATTTTAAATTATTGCAAAAATTTGGTTACTTAGTTTTCCTTATTTTTAGTTATTTTATAATTTGAGGACTCATTTATAATTTTATTAAGTTTTTTTCAGAAGATATTTTATAAAATGAAACCTACAATTCGCAATTAAAGAATCATTGATATTTTGCATTAATTATTTTTTATGTCATGGCATTATTTAAGCCAATCAGAAAATCTTTTCAAATCAATCAGGTTTAATGTTGAATCAAATAAATGTTTACCTTTTTTATTTGACACCTAATGAAAAAAAATCATTAATGTTGATTTTTTAAAAAACTTCTTGTTTTCTTTTTCATTTCACCCAATACAGAATAGAAAGTTTACCACACAATTAATTGATATACTTTAATTTCGAATTGATAACAATTGTTTTACTGAAAATTCAAAAGGCTGTTAGTATAATTGTTGTAAATATTTTTTATGTCAACATATAGAAAAATGACACATAAGATTTTGTCTATGTGTCAATGTGAGAAGAAATTTGATTTTCTCTCTCTTATTTCTCTCTTAGTATAATATACATATTATAGATTCCATGTATTGACAATAATTTAGCATAAGTGTGCAAATAATAGCCACTACACTATCCTCTTGGCTGATAATGTAGATGACCAAGTATCTAATTTCACCGTCATTTTGGCATCATGCATCCGCATGTTTTCTTACCTTTCAGTAGCCAATTGTTTTTATTTTTAATTTTTTTTTCAAATTTTAACAATTATGGTTCTAAAGTTATATTCAAGACAACACCAACAATCACGCGAAATGATGTTTTTTGTCACTTGAGTGCTCAAACCCACTTATACAGAAAATCAAACACGAACAGGGTGAGAAAAATGAAAACAAAAAATGTATACCTACACATAGAAAATCGGGCATTAGATAGGAATCGCTCCTTGAGATTTGGGAAGGCGCATAACCAATCTAACGGCATCATCACGGGATTCATTTCCAATAAATATTAGTATTCCTCTATTTCAAAATGTAAGTCGTTTTAGGTTTGAATAAATTTTTTAAAAGGATAGATATTGTTTGTAGCCCTTATTTAAACTTCTTTCAGCCCCCAAAATACCCCAATGAACACTTTTGCCCAATCATTCTTTCCAAACAAGTTTGAAGTAGAGAGAGAAAATGAGTGATTCAGAAGTAAAAATAAAAAAAATAGATAAAAATTCGGTCCGGACAAGATGGTTAGCCGCCTGGTTTGGTTTTGAATGGTTCGTTTGGTCAGCGATTCTTTTTCGGACGAGTGATTTGCTCCTCCGGTGTAGATTTGGATGAAATTATTGCCCGTCTGGTTTGGCCAAACCGATCGGAACTGGTGAAAAAACCGTCGAACGGACATTTTTTTCTCATCTGTCAACGCCGGCCAAACCATTTTTCGGCGGTTCACTCGCTGACAGGCCGAATTAGGCGCCCGAATTTTTGTCGGACGGCCGTCTCAACCGGACATTTGAATCGTCCGGTTCGTGGGTGACCGGGCGGTTTTATTGGCCGGTCCGATTATTATTCCTTTTTTGAAATTTTTTAATTTAATTATTGTTTAGTTTAATTGTTATTTATGGTGAAATTAGTTGAAATTTAGGTAGTTAATTCGTGTTTTTAGTTGGAAATAATTGTAATTTATTAGCTAGAACTAATGATTAATTTTTGTACATGTAGTTGAAATAATTATAACTTTTAATAATTTTTTTAATTAATATTGTTCGTATATAACTTTTAATGATTATTTTATGAAAATTTTTAGTAGTTGGTTCATAACTTTTCGTATTCATTAATTATGAAATTGCTATTAATTAATTTCATTTTATTAATAATTTAATATGTTATTATGATTTTCAAGTAAAATGATTGACATTTGCAGGATTCGTTTGACGAGTTGGGTGGAGATGGTATTGATTATAGTGAGCATTTTGCGACAGATGAGATATTTTCAAAGAAAGAGGAAGTTACTGATTGGGTCAAAAGCATCAGCATTATCTATGGTATAAAAATAAACAGTGTCGGGCAAGAAAAAAAAAGACATTTTAGTAAGATCTTGTAAAGGTGGAAAGTCCAGACGGAGTAGTGAAGATGGTGACAAATCCATGTGCACCAATTCAAAGACAAATCACTGGATGTCCGTTTAAGATATTTGTTCGCCAGGTTGGTGATAAGTATATGATCCTTGTGTATCTTGGTCGACATAGAATGCAAAACCATGCACTGTTTGATGAAGATCATCCTACGAGGGGACTCAACGATGGAGTGAAAGAACTCATACAGATAATTTCTAAAGATGGGTGCAAGCCATGCAATATTATAGCAGCAATTAAGAGAGAATTTTCGGATGAACGGATCAACAAACACCAAGTGTACAACTACAGAGAAAAGTTGCGTAAGTTGGGTTTCCCGACATCGGTTGATTCAAGTTGCATGGATGTTGCCACAAAGACTCTATCGCTAGCCCAGGAACACCGGTGCATCATTGTGACGGAAGATGATCAGGAGATAGGTGCACTTACTCATGTTTTCTTTGCTCATATATCCTGATTCTATCAGTTTATTTCGCACTTATTGCTGGTTCGTCGGTATAGACTCCTACATATAAGACGAACAAGTACTTCATGTTGTTTGTTGAGTTTATTGGGGCCACACCGTGCAATCAGAACTTCTTGATTGCATATGCACTTATTAGTGACGAGACAGCGGACAGTTATGATTGGGCATTGAAACAATTCCCTACATTGCTTCCAGAAAAGTTGTATATGTGTGTCATTGTTACTGATCAGGAACCGAGATTGATGGCGCCTATTTGTGAGAATTTTCCTGATTCTGTACACTTGTTGTGCACTTGGCACATATACAAGGATTTAGACTGACATATCCGTGAGAAATTGAAGATAGACATGACCACTGCACATTCACACACGGAATATGGAAATCACTGATGGAAGCTGAGACAGAACCGGACTACGACATAGTAGTTGCAGGCCTGAGCCATACTTGGGTTAATTTTCTTGCAGTTACAAAACATGTCGTACAGACATGGTTAGTGTATAAGTACAAGTTCGTGAAGCCGTGGACGAGCGGTGTATTTCACATGGACAACACCACTACATGTAGAGTAGAGAATGTACACAAACAGTTAAAAGCTTGGCTTGAAACGTTCAATAGAACGCTGGATACAACTTGGGAGAAGGTCGACTTGACCATTCAGACTCAGCTTGATGAGATACGTATTTTCTCACTCACTTATGTTTTATTTCTTCAATTTTAAATTCATTTACAATTGTTTTTATTTAAGTTACTAATTAGTTGGAAGTTCTTATTAATGTATATTAGTATACTTGTAAAGTATTTTTTACTTCATAGTAATAGTAAATATATTTCACAGTGACATGTAATTGAATTTGATTTCAGGTATAAACTGGAGTACTCGAGAAATAAAATTGCAATACTGCACATCGGTTTTCCACTCAATTGCTTGAAAGGTCTAGTTTCACATTACTGTTTGGAACTATTGAACAAGCAGTTGGGGACAGTGAAAAAGTTGAGAGCAGAAATGAAGTGTACTCATGTGATATATAATATATTGGACTTGTCGAATTCCTTGTGCATACACACGGAAAAAAGCAATTGATGCGAACACGCCCATCACTTTGAGGGATATCCACCCATTCTGGTCGACCTTTATTATCAGTGAGAATGTGGATACTGGTGCTTCGGGTGATATGGATGACGGTGTCCAATATTGGAATCAGTTGGTGAAAGAAGTGAGTGTGTGTGATCCAGCAGTACGACGCATGATAAGTCGGATAGTGCATGATTCACTTCACCCCGACTAGTGTGAGTACAAAGAACCGAAGGTGGTGAAGAGATGAAAGGAGTGACCGAAGAGGGCAAAATCAAAGAAAAAAACAACACCAAATGTGTAGGCTTACAGGGATGACAGTCAAGGGATGGAGCCCACAACCAATTCACGCAAGGGGCCCGGTTCAGGCCAGGAGCCACCATCGTCATCAGGCAGCCGTATAGATGTATCAGAGGTACGAATTAATAACATACTTGTACGAATTAATAATTCACTTTTATGAATTAGTAACTTACTTGTACCACATGGATAAAATATGCTCTTATTTAACAGATGTTCTCGCGAAAGATATTTCGTTGGTTATGTCCAATGCATCCCGTGGCTCATTTGGGATTACATTACCAAATATCTTGATGTCGTCGCCAATGGAAACTGTGGATATTGCATTGTAGCGAGTCACCTATGGAACAACCAGCATGAATGGTTGAATGCTCAAGAGTT